GCAATAAAAATTTCTGTTCACATCTACTAATGTTATGTTATTATTACATTAGTGCAGCACAAGGTTCAGTTAGCTTTGCACAAAAATAGCTGGTAGACACATCCTCCAAAGAGCTACTTTTCCTTTATTATTCTGAGTACATTTCAGAGCTGGTACTTTTTCACTTTTACTTGAGTAAAGAAATTGAATCAGCACTTCAACTTTTACTGGAGTATTTTTAACATTAGTAACTGTACTTCTACTTAAGTACAGAATGTCTGTACTTTTGCCAACTCTGCTGCTATCTTATGAAAATATATATTATGCCCCTGAATGATAGCAGCTAAGATACTACCTAAGTTCTGATCAACAAATGCAAAAGGAGAAAGTAAAAGTAGGCCAATTCTAATCAAGAACAGTGTGAAATGCTACTAATGACTAAAGCTCATGTGGTGTGTGTATGTTTTTTATTGATTTCTCAGACAACCAAGTGTCCAATATGAACAGCAAGCTAACACAAAGCCAGCAGAGAACAATCTGCACTCAGCTGGGAAGATTCAAACTACAGCTGCTGTACAAGGCCAGCATCCACGGCTTCACCGGTGCAGCATTTCACCAAAGATGTGACAACCGCTCTCCCACTGTGTCTGTGGGCTACAACAACTCTGGTTTTGTGTTTGGAGGCTACACCAAACAACCTTTTAGTCAGTCTGGGCAGTACGTGAATGATGATCAGGCTTTTCTTTTTACCTTCAATGGTGAAAAGCTCATCAAATATCCAGTTACTAGTACTGCACATGCAGTGAAAATGATAGCTAACTCTGGGCCTTATTTTGGAGAAGCACTGGTTCTTGTCAATGCAAGCCAAGCAGTAGTGTATAGCAATCCAGGAAATTATTACAATTTCACTCCTGCACAGATGCATGGAAATGACCTCAACCTGACTGAGTGTGAAGTCTACCAAGTGGAGGGTAAGTTCAACATAAGAAGCCACATGGTCAATTAGCTGTTGCAGGTTAATGTCGATAAATTTGATGTGTCACTGTTAGGGATGGGTATCGAAAACCGGTTCTTGTTGAGAACAGGTTCGACCTGTTTCAATTCCTTGGAATTGTTTGCCATTTTTGCAAACGATTCCCTTATCGATTCCAGTCGCCC